TACGTAAATACTTTGTTTATTTCAAAAAATAATACGTATATTAATTGTCACGTTAAATTAATGTTAATAAACATTGATGTTTCTTTTTCTTTTCTTTTCTTTTTTTTTTTTTTTTTTTTTTGAGGGACTAATAAAATCGCGTGCGGACTAGTAAAAGTAATGAAGCACTAGTCCGGCTGGACTAAAGCCTTAAAAAGTTAGTGTCGAACCCTGGCCTTTTTTCAATAAAAGGTGGGTCTTCGCTTCATTTCTTCAAAGTATGTTTATAAAATAAACATTTTTTCACATAACAAAACAAGGAGGATTGATTGATTGTTGTTTTACGTCCAAGGACGATCCTACCTTTAAAAAATACACTTTTATGACACAAAGTTCGTATCTTTCCGTAAAATATCTGAAGTCCAGTTATTGAAGGGTCATATAACAAACAATATTAATATGCTTCTACCTGTAATGAGATATATGGTGAAGTGGTTGGCGTGTCAGCATCTTAAGAAAAACTGACACTCAGGATTTTTATTGAGCTTGGGTTCAAATCTAAAAGAAAAAACAACAACAAAAAAACACACACACATACACACACACACACACACACACACACACACACAAAAGCACAAAACCCCCTTTTTTCTACCATAGAATAAATTTTGCTGACAGAATTTGTCCACAGAAAAGTTTTGCTTGTCATTCGTTAGATTTTGCAAATTTAAAAAGTGGGCTAGTTCATCAATGTAACTCATTAAGGTGCGGATCAATAATAATAAAAAAAAAAAAAAAAAAAAAAAAAAAAAAAAAAAACATCCAATTAAAGGAATAATTATGTAAATCTATATAAATGTTAATTATACAATGTCTTTTATTGCACATACGGGGATTAACAGTTGCTTCTATTGCATAAAAATATATTACCTGCCTATGCGGGCTATTAATTTTTCGCAATGGTTGCAACCGTAAATTTACATAGAATTTATAATAAATCTTCGAACCCTTAGGTGATTTATTTGAGAATCTTGTAATCCATGGCTGATAAATGGGTTCTTCCCAAGACGGTTGAATGTTTGTTAAACACAATCGTATTTAAAATTTTATTGCAGATGTCCAAAATGCTATCAGTTAAAAGTAAGAAAAAAAGAACAAGACCTGTGTACAGGAACTGGACAGAAGAGGCAATGTCGGCAGCCGTTACCGATGTTCAGCAGAACGGAATGTCAATTCGAAAAGCCGCCGCGAAGTATTCGGTTCCACCGACAACGCTAAATAACCGTACCACCGGAAAAATTCAAGAAGGGGCAAGGTGGGGTGGTGCCCCTTTATTGTCACAAAAAGATGAGGAAGGACTCTTGGAGATTGCGAAGAAGAGAGCCGAACTGGGTGTAGGGTATTCGAAGCACAACTTTTTAAGATGCGCATCTGAACTGGCGAAAAGAAGAGGGAAAGAATTTAAGCATCCAGTGCCATCAGAGATGTGGTGGAGACGACTCAAGCGACGCCACCCAGAGTTTACGCTGAGAACACCTGAATCTACCAGCGTTCTACGTCATCAGGGAATGACAAAAGAAAGAATCAATAAATTCTTTTCTACTTTGCGTGAAGTTTACTCAGAACATCAACTTTACAACAAACCGATGTCCATCTGGAATATGGATGAGACAGGTATAACGATGTCTCACAAACCTGGAAAAGTTATTGCTCAAAAGGGCGCTAAGACAATTCATGGAAAAGCAGGGTCCCGAGAAATGGTAACTGTTATAGCCTGTGCTAATGCAAGTGGAACCACAGTTCCACCCCATTTCATAATGCCAGGGAAAACTATACGGGCTCTGCAAGGATATGGAATAGAAAATATTCCAAAGGAGTCTGTACTAAAAGATGCAAAATTTTCAGTATCTGAGAGTGGTTGGACAAAGGATGGCATTGCCCGTCTCTGGTTTGAGCAGACGTTTTTGCCATACATTGGAAACGAAAGACCACAATTACTTATATGCGATGGGCATGGGTCTCATAACAACATTGAATTCATAGAGATAGCACGATCCAACAACATTGTGGTGATAGAGCTACCAAGCCACACCAGTAATTGGACACAGCCATTAGACCGTTCCTTCTTTAAGTCTTTGAAATCTGGATGGAACAAAGAAGTAGATTCATTTATCAGCACAACTGGAGTTGCTGTAGGACACATCCAGTTTCTAAAGGTATTTGAGAAGGCTTGGTCTGCATCTACAAAGAAATCCAATGTAGTGTCTGGATTTAAAGCGACGGGAATATTTCCTTTAGATCCAAACATGATTCCGGCGGAGGCTTTCCTTCCATCAGTATTATACACAGATGAGCATGTCAACCATACCAATGGTCCATCTTCTTGTAACCCTGCTGAGACAATCACCATCGCTCAATCACCATCGCCATCTGTAGATGATACAGACACGCCGGCTGTAGCAGACACAGCTCCTGATGTAAGTGGCCACACCCTGATGGAGTCTATAAGCGCCTCACAAACACCAATGCTACCGTTGGACCCAATGTTGGATGCAAGTTCAGATGAAAGCTTTTCTGCAAGTTTTGAAACAATCAATAATATATTGTTGACCGTGCCCATACAGGAATCTGTTACAGATTTGCCATTGATAATACGTCCTGATGGAAGCCTCGAGTTAACAGGAATTTCGTCGGGCTTAGAAACTAGTATTGAGGAACATGTAGAAGATCTTGGAAGGAGCAGTGGCTCTGCTTCCGTCTCTGATATGTTTACCATCCCAAAGATTATAAAGGATTCTAAGAAACGAAAGCAGAAAACGGAACGTCAGTATTTCGTAATAACCTCAAATGAGGCTTTTGAAGAAAGAAAGAAGAAGGAAGATGAAAAGAGAGAGGCAAAACAAATTAAAGAAGAAAAAAAAATTCAGAGAGAAAATATGAAAAAAATGAAAGCAGCAGAAAAGGAGAAAAAAATGAAAGAGAAAATGTCGAGAAAAAAAAAAGTTTAAATAACGCAAATGATCAAATTGGAATTTGTTTGCAAGTGTTTGATTATATTTGAATAAAAAAATGAATACTTGGTTGAACATGTTGAGTTCTACAATCGTCATTTATTTCACGCACAATAAATGCGCAATGCTCCTTAAGTTGAAAGTAAAAAAAAAAAATATAGCTTACTTAATAAAATAACTTATAATGACCTGTATTCAAAGAACCAAAGAGCTTGTTAAATGAGAAACTGTCACCATAATTAAAATTGGATAAAAACTATATTGCCGAGGAATTATATTTTTAAAAAGAAAAGCGTTTACCTGATATCATCCAGACCTTTTTTTTTTTTTAATTTTGTTCAATACATCTGGTTATATATGATACATATGGACCAGGCCCGTAGGAAGCAATTTCATTTTTTTTTTTTTTTAATTGGGGGGGGGGGGGGGGCACAACCATACATTTTCAGTTGGGGGCACTATCAACTACCAAAAATTCCTTGACAACCCAAAAAAAGTCATCAATTATTATTGAGGGAACACAATAATAGTATCTATGTTTTCTATAGTAAACTATATATCGGCAAAATTATTGGGGGGCACAGCCCCCCCCCCCCCCCCCCGTGCACACGGGTTCCTATGGCCATGTGGACCAATAACTCAATTGAAAAAATTAAGTTCAGCCTGTAAATTTTGCCCGATTATGATATGTTCGACTTGATATATCAACACGTTCGACTCAATATCTAGCCGTTCGATTTGCAGTCGGATACGTTCGACTCGTGATCAAATTTCATCTCTTGGGCATTTTCCTTGATCAAACGTTTCAAACATATTGTACAATCTCAAACAAGTCAAAAAACAATTGAGACGAACTTCTCGATAAACCTTGATGTTTACCATATGACATATATAGCACCGAATGAATAAGGCTGTTGTTATATCTATGTAGGTGTTCGACCTCCGATCAGTTTACCCTACTACATGTAGTTAAAATACGACCAAAGATATAATTTATATTACGTTCAAGATCTTTCTCAGAGATTGCAAAGAAAATAAAAAAACGTAAGGCTTAAATTGAAGTGTTCTGAATGATGTAGGGCATAATCACTTTCTTTGCGGAATTTTTGCACAAGTGTATTAGAAAATTGTCTCTTTCTCTCTTTATATCTGTTCCATTATCCATATATTTGTTTGCTTACAATTTGGGAAAAATCAATAGCTGTGCAATAAGTATATTTACGATAAACTTTTATAAGAAATCCTGTCTATAATCAAAACCCAGATGCAAGTGAATCAAAGTTTGGTGACACAATCGAGGCGAGTCAGAGAGGCAAGTTGGGTTTACACGCTGGAGTGATTTAGACAGGTATGCTATGTTGACACACTTAACTGCTTTAGAGTTCGTTATGTTGGTTTGTTTCAGACGCATATGTTAGCTAGACACCCTGAAGTGATTAGACAGTCACATTATGTTGACACGCCGGAATGATTTAAACAGGTAAGATATGTTGACACGCTGATTTGATTCAGACAGTCCGTTATTTTGACACACTTATAAAAAAGACAGCAGAAAAATGACAAAAAGACAAGGCAATTGTTTCACTATTTATTAATAAAAATGGTAATCAATGAATTTAAAAGTTATAATAATCTTGAAACAATGTGCATACTTTTCCTAGAAATTGTTTGTTGGAGTCATTATGCAATGCCAAATTCAAGTTATCTGAACGAATTAAGTAAACAAATGTCATAGAAATACTTAAACATATTCATTTGTAGTTATTACATTTATATGATGTTGCTATGAATGATTCCTTAATTCAACAGATTGACATGCATAAATGTAAGAAAAAATGCATATTATTTTGCTTAAGATAAAATATAAATACAAAGTGCACACATGTATATATTATCTGAAATAACCAATAAGGATATGCTGCAAAATTATAAGTCATATCTATATATACACAATATGAATTCTAATTCAACTCAAGAAGTCTAAGCCTGCTTCTCGTCATTCGGTACAGGTTCTAAAGAATATTAATTATAAAGTCCCCCTGAACTTAGAAATTTTCTCCAGTGAATGAAGGGAAAGGGGGATTTCTTCCACTCTGAAAGGTCCATAAAGGGCAATGAAGAACACTTAACAAGGGGATTTCTGCAAAAAAAGTAAAATTTTGTTATTTTTGCAAAAGTATGCATAGATATACAAGAAAAACTTAATAATATTATTAAAGATCCTTTTAATCTAATTTAATATAATCTGTTGTAGTTTGGATTGGTAAATAAATGTTGTGTTAAGAAGTAAAATAAGCTGAAGATAAATGTGCTCGACCTCAAAAAACCTAAAAACTATACAAATCAGTGAAAAGGGGAAAAATACGGATCCCTGGAAATTCCAGAGGTGGGATAAGCTGCCAAGGAGGATTAAGCATCCTGCTGTGAGCACTTTGCATTGTTTAGGATGACGGAGTAATCCTTTGTTAAACTTATTAAGAGGGAGTAATCTGTTGTTACATTTAGTTTAAAATCAAAAGGCCTAAGAATTGGAATGAAATATCTCTAACAAAAATGAAACTTTACTCATGAACGTTTTATAAATCCCACCCCCCTACCCCCGACGGCCCTCCTCCGAAGTTCATTACATATGTTGTAAATATGTATGAAATTGGTGAATTTATCAAAATCAGAAACCAAATTATCTATTATGAATCTTAAGTTTTCTAATCCACAAACGCGCCTTCTTTGTGTATTTGCACTACTCCATTGTGCATTTGATCAATTTTACGTATATAAATGCTGTAGTGGGATCCACGCCTGATACTTACTTTGATCCTACGAGGTTGAAAACTTCTTCCTGAATTTTATCCAGATTCAGCGTCTCACAAAGAATCTTAGATAACGTCATTTTTCTTATTTCTCTAAGTTGACCTATCAAAAATCATGTTTGTCAAATATACAGCTGTAGATTTGCTTTGACATGCAGTTTACCTATTTGTTAACAAACATATTTACAAGTAAATGAGCAAAACACAAATAGGATTTATAAACGCAAGAAAACTTCAAAAGTTTAACTTGGTTTAAAAATATTTATCAAGTTGAGACCATACATTTTGGATGTAACAGTGCATTATATTTTTTCTATTTCCTAAAAGCACATGTTAACATTGTTCCATCTTTTTCTGTGTAGCTGTGGGATATTTACATTGTACATGCAAGATAAGGTAACCTCCAAGAGTTCACGTTGCAACTGTATCCACGATGTATTAATTGATATGTAGGAAACCGTATTTAATCATTTAGCAAAGATTAAATTAGTAGTCTTATTCGGCCCTATCTAATATTTATCCCAAATAAAATACTTGTGTATACCTCTAGAGAATCCCTCTATTCCCCTCTTTTCGTACCAATATCTGTCCCCAAACCTTAGGTCTCTGAACTGCCATCCTAGTAAACATTCGAAAAGTGGACCTACAACTGCGTCTGCGCGAGGTATTTCTGAAATACCTCCAACGAACACATCAATGTCATCAACGTGGCTGCAAAAAGAAACACCAACATTCTTATGAACATTTCAATAGACATATTTCCTGAAGAGAAGTGAAGAGTTCTTCTTTTTCTCTTTCCAGAAGCTGTAGTTTATTTGATCTTCTAACTCAAATATTCAATATGCACAATTATTCTTAACAAATAGATTTGACTGGACATCGTTATAAATATATAGAAACACTTACTCATAAACATTTTGCAATCTTGCAATCGTGTCAGAATTATGATCTTGTAATTCGGAAAAAGTGTTTGCTACCGGAAGTTTACACCACTTCCGCCATTCGTTGTAGGCAGGTAAACCGTGGTCCCGCCCTCTTTGAATGTTGAATGACATTAAGTCAAACGTTACTCCATTTATATCACGAAATAATTCATTTCTGGCGGCATTTTCAATTTGTCTGAAATAGTGAAGTAAAAACAGTTGACTCTAGAATTCATGTCTCCGATGTGTCCAAGCATGATTATTTATGAACATTTGTAGAGCTTTGAATTAAAATTTATGCTTCAAAAAAAGGATATTTGTTCATTTTCGTGATCTAATAATTTTTATAAACAAAATGTTAATATCTCAAAAAAGTTTTTTCAATATATTGTTTTATTATTTGTTATTATTTTTTATCAATCCTAAGCGTCTGCATAAGAATTAAAGTGAAGTAAAGTTATATACCTATCAATCTTTCTTGAGGGCGTGGCTAATAAAAACCGCGCCAAATCTGGAATGTTTTGTCCTTGTTGTGTAACAACTATATGGGGATCCATGAAGACATCTTCCGATTTAAATACTCTAGATGTGGCAAACATCCTCGTCATATAGCCTAGCTCTGGAGGAATCTGCAAAATGGAAAATTAAGTTGTTCATTTTTTCGTACACAACCTCAAAACGTTATTCTATTTTAAAATAAATAACAATAAATAAACATAAAAAAGACGAGACATCTTTAAGAAATTCGGAATTTCAGACATTATTCAATAACAAGGAACTTTGATTGAAACAAAAAAATGGTGCATTCCACATCGTACAGGACACAATTGCAAACATGTTTTTAAATGTTATTCTCAAAGTAATCATGAAGTTATCAAAACTTTAAGTTACCTGTGAGTGTCCATATCGAAGTGCTGCAGTAGCAATGACGTTCTTAACAGTGGGGTTCACCTTAGAATCATATCTATTCCAATAACCTTTTTGTCGAAGGTTCAGAGACAATTTTTTCCTAGTTTCTTTCCCTAAAATAGCCGGAAGGTATTCCCCGTACGTCACTTGTTGCATAATGGCGCCCATAATCTTCTTCGTTTCCAAAAACACATCTTGACTAGATAGTCCAGTTATTTGTCGTAATTTGATTGCTATGATATTGTGAAGGCGAAGGAATACGACATGGAGACCACCCAAAGAAGGAAATTCATTTGATCTTTCGTCACCTAGAAATTATATACATTTAGTTAAACAAGGTACACTGTAATATGAAATAGTATGTTCTCAGAAATGTGTTATACCATATCATGAAAGGAAGCGAGAACACTGTTTTATTTATGCAGGAGTTATTTCATGGGAAATAATATTTAATTGTATTTGAAGTAGGAATGGTAATACAAAGTATCCGTTGAAAACACACAACCAGTTAATTTTTTTTAATTTTACATGCATTACAATATTAAGGCTATGATGGATCTCATGAAAATCACCCCTTTAGAAATTGAATATAATCCGTTTCAATTCATTACCGGCCAGTTGGCAGAAATCTTCTGTTTGAGATGTATGACAGGCTCCTCCAGGAGGAAGTATGTCACCTGATGATGTCCTCATGGTGCCTGGCAACAGAAAATGACATCATATAATTAAAATATCAATAATATAAAATTCCTTCAAGGTCAATTATATTGCCCAAAACATTCATGCTGATATTTTCAAGTTTACTGTTAAAGGAAAGTTATGTTGTGATTTTTCAATAATATCATACCAACATGTCCATTGAGATTTTCATTAAATCGTTTTGAGTCTCCATATAACATTCCTGCATCAATAAAGGAAGATAGTCGGTTCACCTGTTGCCTAGGGCCTATAAGGAATGCAGAATCAGTAAGTTATTTTACAAAGGTTCAGAAAATATCTATAATCAATACACATATTATTGTATATGCCGTTATTCTTTTCTCTTTTTAATTATTCAATATAACAATATCATGGGTTGTATGGCTAATGCAGCTATTCCTAAGGATATTTATTTATATTTATAAAACTTTTTAAATCTCAGTTAAGTACCTATGCTGCAGCCTTCGTCATGTGGAGTCGGTATTGATCGAGAAAAATCCATACATGTTCTACTTGGAAATCGAGCATCGCCTGTTGTGATTTCTATCACATAACACTCAGGGCTATAAAAGGAAATAAAATATTTAGTTTACTTTGAGATATCCAAGTATCAAAATCTATATCAACAAGATGTCCAAGGTCCTAACGGTCACCTGAGTATAATACAACAATTTCGAGGATCTTTAGAAGTATAAAAAAAAACTGATAGATGGTTTTGTTTCCCAAAGCAAAAGGAATAGGATGAGCAGGATCAACAAGTTAAGATTTTTTTATCAAGACGAAAAACAGGATGAACCTACACCATTCAGTCATTGAATGCTTTCTTCTTTTTGTTTTTGTTGTTCCTGTGTGTATGTGTGTGTTTTGCAATAGTTTCATGTGAACAAAGTTTAACGAATTAACTTACTCCGAAGCATCGACTCCACAACAATCAAGAGGACTTCCATTTTCTCCTATAAAACAATTACCATAAATGAAACGTACACAGGTTCAGACAATTCAAATCTTTCTACTTGTATGGATGAGAAAAAGTTAACTGCAACGATATTCCCTGGTGTATACTTGTAAAAAAAAATTCATGCATTTTATATTTGATCTGATTTAATATGAAGAACAGATGACATTTCTTCTGAATGACAAGTATGGATCAAAATCATAATTTACCAGAAGATCAGTAATTTTGAGAATTAAGAGTAATGTTTCATTATTCACCAATAACAATGGGCGTGAAAGTCAAGTCGTGGTCTATAAATTGACCGAAGGTGAACAACATCAAATTCCGCTTGCTGTCTGGAGGTGTCAACATATCTCCTGCCAGTACTTTGTTACTGATATCTCTTGGGCTGGGAAGTGTGTCTCCATTTCTACTTCTTTGACGCGGACTGTTATACTCTATTCAAATAAAAAAACAAATGGCTCTGGTCAGCATTTCAATCTTTGGTGTCATACAAAATGTTGGATTTACAATCTATTTTTAGTTTAAATTTTTAGTTTAGTGCAAATCGTAATATTGTTTTATCAATTATTAAACATTGCTGTGACGTCATGCCTTTGTTCTTGCAGTCTAAAAATTTACCTGTAGCCGTCCGATAATAATAATTAACAGTCCAATAATATATTATCGGACGGCAGTGATAACAAAATCGGACAGTAGTTAAAAAACAACAACTAGAGTGAAATCAAGATTTAATTTGTCCAGAAACCAAAAAAAAAAAGTTAGGGAGAAAAAATTCAGCGAAAGCGAGGAAATTAAGTTGTTAAAAAAAGCAAATCCGAGAAGAAACTAGAGTTTTAACTTTCCTCAAATGTAACGCTTTCCATTCGTTTATTTGCAGAGCGTTTTCGATACAGCACTGTGAATTAGCCAATTTAAATCCATTTCTGATAAAGAACCAGTCTGCGAATCTCTTCATTTAACGAGGTTTGTTCGCCAATGACCGCACTTTTAAAACCCAATATTTTCATTATATCATCCAATCAAAATTTTAGATAAAAATCCGCATTTTTACTTTAATTGCATGTTGAAGATATCATCCAACATTGCATCTGTATCAATGTCCAACGCACTTAATAAAGAAAAAAATATTCCGAATCATAAAAAAAATCCTTCATCACCTGACCACTATCCATAGTTCCTGCTAAGCCAAACGACTGCCATTGAATGAATGAAACAAAAGAGTTCACTCACTGATTTTACTGTCTAAAGAAAGAAAAAACTTTCTCTTTTCTTTTGTCTACTTATTAGATGGTTTCAGGTAGAAAACTATTGATGCCTGAACTCCTATTGTGTAATTATCGGACTCCTCCAGGTAACTTTTGGACATTTGAATAGCAATGTTTTAAGTAAGATATATGCCTCATACAATTCTATATGTAAAATTATCAGACTGTTTTCGGCCCTAACGGGCCTCAAACAGTCTGATAATTTTACATATAGAACAGTATTTGGCATATATCCATTACATATATTCTGCATTTATAACAAAGAACAAGGTACGGTTTCAATACAAATTTTGCCCTGTGTTTTTCTTAAAAAAAATGAAAGTAATGTAAAAAATTAAAACTCATGATTTCTGAGTCATTGAAATTACACGCAGAAAGATCATACAAATCATTTTCCTCACATGACCTTCTAAATGCTAATTGTGACGTCATAAACTTGTGCATTTTCCCGTATTTTCTTGAAAAGTTGCAGAAGACACCAATTTTCAATGGAATTTTCTCTCACATGATATTGTCCACAGGCATCGCCCACAAAGATTTTGAGATATGTGATTTTTCAAAGAATTTTACACAACATATCCGAAAATAAACGTGGGCGACGGCTGTGGATACTATTTTCTTAAGGAAAATAACCCTTGAAATGGGTCATTTTGAGGCTTTTTCTGTTTAAAATAGAGAAATGCATCAAATTAATGACGTCATATTTCCAGAATGGTACTCTTTCATGCTATATTTTTTCCTGATTTATCACTGTCATATACTCAACAAATGTTTAAGCCAGTTTCAAAACTTTTTGAAAGTATTAAATTTTAGGGCACAATAAAGCTAAAACCGTACCTTCTTCTTCGATAAGAATATGGTGTTCTTACCATCATCATAGATGGGTTTTAAATACCGCGCATGGGCCTGCAGTGCCATACCCCATGTTGGATTGCAGAGATTGTTGCATAAGCCGTCAGCACTTCGATATCTTGAATTCTTGTATTTTTTACATGAGGTAGGGACTGTATCACACAGTTGAGCCCGGAGGGATCTTTGATACTCATCGCTGCTCTCTAAATCTCGAAATGTTTTCCCGGATCTGAAACATTTTGTTAGTTTTACATATTTTAGCACATACTTGTAAATAAACATGAAAGAAAGATAGAAGCAAGTACTATCTTTACGATAATAAAGGAAACACAGTATGACTATATGTAAGACTCTAAACTTTGTGACATTTAAGGTAGCTGGCGGGTTTACTGTCTGGCTTAAAATGCAAGCTGAAATTTTGTCAGCTAGATCTATTCGTTTTAAAATTTTATTTCTTTTTTTCTTTTTTTTATTTTTTTGAGATTAGTCTGCATGTTTATGGTCTAATTGTATTTCAATTGCACCAATGTTGCTGAACACAGCTGATGCTATTTCAATGAAGTTCATAGTAAAACACTTTTTACGCCGGTAAACGCAGTTTAAAAATGTGCTCATAATTTTAAAAACAAAGCAGACAAATTTTACTTATCATACTTAGCGCAGTTAATGTGAAGACCATTTAGAATCAATCCATAAAAATACTAATATGTGTGCTACCTCAATTTATTTGCAAAAATCCTCTTATTTTTGCAATCTTCCATCAAATATATTTTCGTTTTATTATTTTACGCGACGTCATTATTTTCTTATGTCTAAAATATTGTATTGTAAAATATATGTATTTTGAAAAAATAGTATTCATTTTAGCTTCGCATTTTTTAACATTAAGAAAGCTCTAACTTATGCGTCCTCTATTTTTGATTACGTTTTAATAAATATTTGTACAGAACACATACAAGCTTTAATGAAAGTTTTTTTTATACTGCTAAAGATGTTTTCTAGCGGTTTGTAGTTTGATCTTGAAAACACGGTAGCTTTTATACGTCGAATTCTATTGTGACGTCAGCAAACCCGCAATTACCTCAAATACTATTGTTAATGTAAATCATATACGGTACTAAGAACTGGGTACGTTAAGACCGATTTATGGCCCTGTAAATGGCCCTGTAAAAAGGGGCAAAAATTAAACGCACGATAACATTTTATCAATTGTATCAATAAACTGTTAAGGTTTTCCTGTGTGTGAAATAGGAATAAAATTTTCTCAACTCACGTGCCCTTTCATTTATATAACGTTCAAAACCGGTCTAATATTCCGGAATTCCCCAATTTTGGACGTTTTCCTGCTCTGCAAGTCCTTATTTCGATATGGCCGCATCCGAGTATGTATGCGAAACTTTGCAGAAAGAACAAATATACTACGATTTTTAATATTAAAGAGAAAAACTAACCTTACAAAAGTGCGGCCACATCCGTTTTTACAAAAAATTGAAGTAAAAATGCTGCATTTTTGGATAGACTTCACCTTTTCTCCACAATGTTTTTAGAGAAATTAATTGTTTAATAATATATCTGAAGGCTTTATTGTTTTTTATTGTCTTTTAAATTCAATTCTGCATTTGAAAAAAAATTAATTTAATACAATTATTTATGCAAATGAAAACCATATAAGCCTTTCTCAGTGAAATTTACAATGGGGCATTACATGTAAATTAATGACGCAATGCATTGAAAAAATGACGTCACAAAGAGCAATCGTGTTGAAAATATGTAGTTGAAACAAATTCTTCAGTCTTCGCAAATATGATAAATATTCAATCAATATTTACAGCGTGAAAAAGTAATTTAACGACATTAGTTGGGATGGTTCAGACAATTAATTTAAATTTAACCCTACATGTACCTCCAATTAAAATGCACGTCTCCTTCATAGTGGACATTGACTTTATTTGACTTCAAGAAAAGATTTTTTTAAACATTGTTATTGAAAATCATCAGCTTTCTTGAGTATGTTTTATTCGTTTTCAATTTATATATGTCTGGGATTCATGAATATCAAAAGACAATAGTTAATGATTGGGGATGGGAAAGGGGGGAGGTAGATAGGAAGCTTGGCGTATAGCAGTTACCATTTGAACATTTCTTTTCAAAACTTGTTATCCTTGTCACTGTATTGTTGCAGATTTTTATTTGACAAAATTAATTATGTCAGAAAGGGTTCTAGTATTTTATCGCATAATCAGGAAGTGTTTTATGTATGACTAAATACTTCTAAATCTACCACTGCCGACCTACATTTACTTATTGAAGGTCAGCAGCTGGGAATGGAAAAGTTCTTACATGTATTGTCACTTATTAATTATATATACATTTATCATGTTGATCGGAATATTTTCAAGTAAATTCGGGTTTAATTTATAATTTACAAGGAATTTTAGATAATTATGTTGACCAAGTTTACAAGGCTAAAAAAAACGTACAATGTATACAGTGATGTACGCTTTCGGCATTTTCTACGAAAATTTAAGTGAAACATGATACAACCAACCTTTTTTATTGTCTATAAATAAAGATTATCTGTTCCTAGTTCTGTAAGAAATACAAACACGATCTTGCAGTATACTTGTGGACAAGACACTCCCCTTTCCGCTCCATAATCGATAGATTAACTCGATTAGTTTTCTTCAGAAATTATTTTCCTAATACATTTTTAAGGCATTCGAATTAAGTCTTGAAATGAAAAAAGAAAAAAAAAAAGATTACATTACGATGAATTGAAATAAAAGTTCAAAATTGTTTTCTGGAACATAAGTCAGGTTAAAGTAAATAGTTTCCGGTTCAGAGAATTTACAGATTTGTTTTAAAGTAACGTTAAAATCAGTAAGCCATGATGACGTTATCACGTCAAAATTTGTAATTTCTAAAGAAAATTCTCATTTTTCTAGACCTCGGACGAAAAAACGGTTTGTGGTAATTAAAAAAAAAATAAAATGATTTTGAAAGGACACATCGTAGGCATGTTTGTAAAAAAATGAAATCAAATTTGGAGACAGGGCTGCTCTGTTATACGTAACGTACCCAGTTCTTTTGATGCACCAGATGTGCATTTCGATAAATTATGTCTCTTCAGTGATGCTCATGCCGGAACGTTGGAAATCAAAAATAATTAAATAAAAAAACTTTGAAGAGCTGAAAAAAGGTGCCAAAGACTTGAGCCAAATACGTCGAAGGATCAGAGCCATGCCTGAGGGAGATAATCCTTAATTTTGAAATAAATTTCAAAATTTTACCACAGCAATTAAATGTATATCCGTATTTTCAAGCTAGTACCAAAGTACTTAGCTACTGGGCTGTAGAGACCCTCGGGGACTAACAGTACACCAGCAGAGGCCTCAACCCAGGGGTCATATTGTAAATCATATGCGGTACCAATTTTGATGCACCAGATGTGCTTTTCGATAAATTATGTCTCTTCAATGATGCCTATGCCAAAACGTTGGAAATCCAAAATATTTTAAGTTAACAATAATTTAAAATATATTGTTAACTATAATACTAGTAACTTTAGTGAATCATAGGTTGAAGATTTTACTAAGTAAATCAAAGCAAAAATGTTTTACTGTAATAATATGAGTATTTTTACTATGGAGTTGAAATTCTATTTTTTTTATATCCCCAGAAGCAAGCGACTTGCATATTTATATATTATTTACGAAATTACCACAATTTGTTTGCAGTTTAAAACTTAAGGTATGTCACTCGTGAAATTTGTTATATCAAGGATTTTTTGAGAAGTATATTTTGGATAAGTACTCATATAGTATGTCTCAAAATCGCAGAGAAAATGGGGGGTCAGTGTGCATCTAACTGAGCTACAGTACAATTAAATTGACCTTTTTGCACTTAAATTGTAACTCTTTGGTTAATCACTTTAACCGTTATCATATTTTATAAGATGTAACCATGGCAATAAACATAACCTTATTTTACGTAAAATAGTTTGAATAATATTTATCATTGAACAAATTATGCAAATTAATGCGCGTAAATTATTGTGTGACCTTTTTGCACTAAAAAAGTCTCATATTTGGGGTATTGAAAATCTAAATAGGCAATAGAATGTTTTCTTGTATCAAACTTTTTACGACTTAAGTGCTGATCGGTCAAAAGTATCGAGTAGTTTAAAATAATGAAAGAAAAAGTTGGGGTCAGTGATGTAAATTTTGAAATATTGGTCAAAATATGCGATTTTCAGGCAAAAAACTGTGTAAATCTTATCTCGACTTCCTTAATATATCTTCATTTCTTGGCAATGTTTGTTGAGCGAAGGTGTAAATTTTGTTATAAAAATATAAATTGAGACCTATATTTAATATTCCAGTCATATCATAACGGAAAATATTCTCTGGGTAAAAGTATGTGAGGCTAAAGTTCCAAGATATTAAATTTAATAAATGTGTAGATTTGCAGAATTTTCTGCTAAGTGTCCTTCCGCCACAAGAAATAGTCCCTTATAAATCTTGGTTCTTTGTGAATTTTTGAGCAGTTTTTTAATTGAATGTTGAACGTTTTACATTGTTTAATTTAAATATGTTATAAAGATTGAATTGTAATAAATAGTTTTTAAGTAAGAGGTTCTGACTGAAATTTTCTAAAAGGCTGACGAGTGACATACCTTAATAAAAAGTTCAGATCAAAAGATCGTACTTCCCAAACCAACCTAACTGAAAAAAAAAACTAACGAGAATCTTCTTTTAATTAACTGAAATGTGACTTAATATATATGCATAAGCGTGTTACTATTTCTGACATTACATTTAAAAGATCTAATCCGAGCATTTTTTTTTATTGAAAGAATTTCTAAATAGTGCTATTGTAGCAATACGGTCAAAATTTTCAAAATCTTAAAAATTCTAATATTTGCTCTAGTCTCGTCAAACCTAAATAAGTCTATACCATGTATGTAAAAATATGTCACAAAGTACCTTTGGATGAGATTTTTGATCAGACTCATATATTTGTACCCCGCCCTCGCTATCCTGTCTTCGTCTTCCTTCTGTTTCTGAAGAAAAGCAAAGCTGTTGCCGGTATCAGGAATGGCTAAAGGGAAGAAAAGGTAATAAATTATCAATGAAGCTTCGGAAAGATCTCATGTTAATCTTTCGTGTTTTTAATAGCTTTATTGTGATTAACTTATTAGTTTTACAGTGCATTTTTTTTTATTTTCTTGCAATACAAAATGGGTCAACAAAAATGAAGTGAATTATGAATTTTTTTAAATGCAAAACTTCCTTAAAAATTACAAAATTATTCAAGTAATAATAAATGCTATCTGTATGAAACGTACTGCCATCTCCTTCTCCGAATTTACGTTGAGGATCTCTGTATGTGTCTTGAATAGCGTCAGCAATGACGTCATCAACCTCTACATCACACTCCACATAAAAGTTTGAGAAATACGCGAACAGCAGAAATATATGCATGAAAACCATGTTGACAATTAAACCTTTTTTTGAAATAAAAGAAAGAAAATCATTTAATTCTATTCACTTACACTTATAACATTAAATTTACTTGCAATGGTAAGAAATATATCTTTCAGATCACTAATGCTTCATTTACATGATATTTATAAGGACAGCAGTTTGTTGATCAAAAATTCTCAAACATTTCTCAAACAAGTTTTGCTCTTTAAAAAAATTAAATTCGGAGATAAATTTTGTTACTCGTTTAGATACATGTAAATAAAATACAAAATTACAGTTAAAATTGCTTCCAGAAGTTTCACGATTAGTCCCTCAATATTTCAACCAACAAATATAAATCAAAGATAACATAGAAAGAGAACTGTTGAATGTGTACATCCAGAGAGTAAAAGTCAACATTAAAGTAGAATTTGCGACATTTGTTAAAATACAAGAGTTTTTGCAAACTTTTTCTTACACATTGTTCAACCAAATTTAATTGTCGCTGGTTGGTGATATTGCAAAATAACGGATATAGATAAATTACTACAAATATGAAACTATACATGATAATTAATGTTATTAAAAATAAATCTTTTCCTGATTAGGGCATTTTAATAAAAAAAAAAATGAAAATGTGAATTATGTCCTTACCTTTAAAGTTCTGGGAGGAAATCAAATTGATCCCATATTTATAGATTGAAAACTATTCATTTAATGGGTTTTCCACACAAATAGATATTTTATTGCATCAACAGTACATTTTAAACAACAGATCTTATCAATATAATATCGTTCATGCATATAAGTAGACAATCTTATAACAATGATAACAATAAAGATAGGTGGGTTTTTAAACATAAAAAACCTACGAAACTGGGTTTCCATGTCCTGTAATTCAGGATCAAGATAAATAAAATTTCAAATATTTTAATAGCATTTCTTTAAAATTGTTTTTCAATGTGCATAAATGAGAAAAAATTGCAAGCACAATGAGTGTAAAATTAATTTTATTGTAAATACACAAATGTCTTTTCAATTTTCTTAATAACTATCCATTTTCTTTATGAGATTCTCTGCCGAAATATGGCACTTTGTGGTTTCTCAGTAAAATGAAAGACAAATTTAGGTAGAGTGACATGAATTTATCTTGAAGAATAAAAGGTGATTTATTTACAAACGAAAACCTTTAATCCTGTTTCCAATATAAAAATCAGTTCAACATGCTGCAAATATGATTAGCAGGTGAAAGAGATTTTTCGGTTTGTTTTTTTTTTTTTTTTTTTATTTTTATTTTTTTTTTTTATTTTTTTTTTTTTTTATTTTTTTTTTTGTTTTGTTTTGTTTTGTGGTTTGGATAAAAACATAACATCTATGTCAAGGTGAGGAAAATCGTGTTTCAATCCGGAGGGGGGCGAATGTAAAAGTGTTGCTAAAATTTACCCAGAATACTGATGTACATAATTGACCCTATTTCAGAAATACATGTAATTGATTAAAAGATTCTTTGAAATCTATCAATGTAACGTTATTTAATTCTAAAAGACTTGTATGATTAGTAGACAGTTTGTGGCTGACTTGTGCAGTGACAGCCACGTTGGACAACGCTCTCGTCTGCTATTTGGCAAAGCTATATTGCAAAGTAATCCTGTAGGATTTCTTTTTTTTTTTTAAATCTGAGTCAGAATTCCTTAGATTTAAGTTTTCAGTTTTCTCCATAAAGTTAAATAATCAACATGATAAAGTCAACAAGACCAGTTGTTAGATTGCATTACGCGGCATTTCAATTATGTTCTAAACACTGGTAACCGACTCATGATACTGTCGTGCAGTATGCCAATCAGTAGCTCTAACTGACCACGAACGATTATAAATGGTTTGATTTTCAGACTTCATAGTTATTTCAATTTATTTGCACGGACCTTAATAAACTTTACATGAGCAGAGTTTATCTATGCCAAAAATATCAGTTTCTGTGCATCATTTTTTTTTTATCTTTTCTTACAAAATATACCTTAAATAATGAAATTATCACTTATCTCGGAATGTTGATATAAAACAAATCAAAGAGCATGTTTTCTCAGACAAAAGGGGTGGCACAATCATTTCGCGACAAATGTCACAAGTAAATTATCTTCGCGCCTTTTTCTTGGATTGTTCTATTGAATGGGTGTGATAATCCTATGGAAATAAATAAAAGTTTTTCTCTTTAACCTGATTCTTAAGCTTCAATTTTTATTAACTACAAATTTTATCTCATTTAAAAAATACACATTGTATGGGCAGGCAACACTAAAGCAATGGGTTTTCTGATTATGTTTACTATTTTGTTTCCCTGTTACCCCTTAAGTGGACTAGTCCAATCATAAACAAACTCCCTCCACCTAGTAAATGGGACATCCCTTCTTGATTCAGTCTGTTTTCCACCTTTTCTTTCAATATTACAAAATAATGCACGTTAAAAGGTTAGCTTTTTTAACAAGCTTAGAATGTCAGTCAGTAGCATATCATTCAATGTTTTGTGATGAACAAAGGTTTCCTTTTAATACAGTGACAAGAGTGTATGCTAGTACCCGTAGAGGAAATGGGCTCCATTCCCGTAAGGTTCTAAGTAAAGAATCGGCAAATGATTTCAGAAAACATCATGCTCTGAACTGGTTTTCATTTCATTAAAAGAACACGTTATTATAGAAGAAATGAGAAAAATTCTGATATCGATTGAAAAGAAAAACTGTAAACGATTTTAAAACTGTACTTAGAGATAATATTTTAAACTCATTCATAATATATGGTAAGACCATCATCGCAAGTGAGTTTTGTCCTTGGGGGGATTATTTGTATCTTGTTTTGCTCTAGCTATAAAGTATACAAGCCATTTACTTTGCGTTCTAGAGCAGTATTGATACATTTTTGTCTCAAACACTTCAAGACAACTATCCTACTTAAAACTGTTCATAATTTACTTGTCGCCGAGAACGACGGAGAACAGACCAGTCTATATATAAAGGCCGTCTCATCAATCTGTCATTTACCAGAAAGTGTGCATGAAGAAGTGCGCCCTCTGGTAAGAGAGTATTATAAATTTCTTTAGAACGACTCGTCAAACTATTTTTCCCAGAATTCCAATCTACGCAAGTGCACTTGCAGTTTCATCCCAACGTAACTAGTCAGCCGAAGGCTAACTAATAAATGACCAAAAAGTGGCATGTCTTACATATTCGTTAATCTGTAATATTTGGTTATAACATTTGAAAAGTCAATTACAAGTACATCTTGTAATGAAGTATCGCAGCTATGTAGCTCTTTGATGACGAGAACGTTTAGCACTTCCTTTGCTTATACGTTCCATAGATATTAATTGATTTAGTCAGGCAAGCTTTTTTGAAAAGCAATTACTTGTACTACAGTAATTTTGAAAAAATTGCACAGAATTTTATAGAGGCTTAAAAACAATATACGTAGAAAGAATTTGAGATAAAGAACTCCTTTATTAGTTAGATTGATAAACCCTGAAATCGAGCCAAGAATTTTACAGGTATACTCGCTTATTTACAAGAAAACATCAAAAGAAGTTTCCATTGTAAAAGGCCAAAACACATGTTTGTTTTTGGGCAGGGACATGCCATACCTTCACATTGTTGAATTTTAATTCTTAAGAAATTCTGGAAAAAAATGAGTTTCCTTTATCTTCCCCCTTCAGTAGGCATGCGTGTCGGTGAGATTTTAATGATTGATATGATGCATTTGGTTGATTTCTTAGTCTCCGCGTTCAGATCAGCACGTAATACATGGTGTAGCGCAAAGTACGAGCAATAATAAAATATGTTGATCACTATCATTGATAAAGACAACCAATCAAAAAATGAGAAAATTGTAGTGGGAATTTATGTGACGGGAATTTTTTAAGAAAAAAAATGTGCTCAATGTACGTATAATTCTTAAAAAATTTTAATAAATTAATGATCCAACGTTGTTTATTATTATTATTATTATTATTATTATTATTATGTATAATATTCTATATAACACTTTTCTTTTTATGCTTATTTCAAATTATTTGAATTAGCTACTTTTAGAACACCATTTGTTTTCAGAAAACAAATTAATCTCAAATACATTCAATCTGCATTTCCACGTCAATTACATTGTTTTCGCTTGGTCAAAAATTTGCGATTGCTATATTTCGTTTTGTCGATGATAAGAAATATATGCAGATGTACATTCAAAATTCCTTCATTTTCTTTGAGAATCATACCAAAAACATTGTTTTGATTGAATCACAAACATGCGCTCATCGACAAGATTGACCAACACATGAAACTAGTGTACATTTAATAAAAATAATCTCCAGCTTTATCCGACTTACCAACATACATGTAAATTATTTCACACTTCACGGCTTTTCCAATTATTTTGCAATTATTTTTCATTATCTTTGATAACATTTGTATTCACAAAATTTATCTATGTCTATAAAAAATCATTTTCTATACTATGGCATGACAAACGTGGCAATATTTGACCTTATCTATTTGTATTGTAATTTTCTATTTGCAATGTAAATTTAAAGTTTGTATTGTATGATTTTTATTTGTATTCTATAATTTTCTATTTGTGTTTGATATTTTCAGTTTGTATAGCATAATTTTTTTTCATTTGAATTGTATAATTTTTCATTTGCATTGTATAGTTTTCCAGTTGAATTCTATGATGTATTTGTTTTCATTTGTATTCTATAAGTTTCCAATTGTATTCTTTAATTTTCCATTTGTATTGTATAATTTTTCATTTGTATTGTATAATTTTCCTGACAAACAAAATAAATTACGAATGGAAAATTATAGAATACAAATTAAAAAAAAATATTGATAACAAATAAAAATTATACAATAAAGACGAAATAATTATACAATACACATGGAGAATTATACAATATAAATGGAAAATCATAGAATACAAAGAAAATTT